TACAATGCAAAGCCCTAGAAAATAAATAAAATGCTAAGCCCAAATACCCATGTGGTTTCTGTATAACAGGAAGCATTTTATTTGTGTAGTTACAAAATTTGAGATGTGGCCAGTTCCCCAAGTAGTGATAGAGCGCAGGAAAAGGATAATAAGCTAAAGGTTTGTGTATCTGCTACACCATCATTATGTTCCATAGATTAATTCAACCAGGGAAAGCACTGTTAAGAAATTCATTTATCCCGTTCCGGGACAGCTTACGCAGACAAAGCTCCCACTGACTGCAGGATCTGACCCATGAAGTCTATTTATGTCCACGAGTAATGTAATTTAGAAGAGCGCCTCCAAAGAAGGCGCGATTTCGTTGTTGTTTTCTGTATACTGCCACAATAGCAAAACAAATGTTCAGACAGAACCATCATTCGGTTTTTGTTCATCAGTTATTTTTATTGATCACATGTGCTTAGAAGGAGAAAAAAATGCCCTCCCGCCTTTTCAAACACATGCCCGATCTTACTAGATTAACTGATGCTGAAAAGACAAGGGTGCAACATTTCAAGATCATGAAGACACGCCAGACTATATGTGCCCTATGCCGTTGCGAGGTGACATGAAAAGCCAGCACATTATAGTTTCATGCTGCGACCTGGTGAACAGGGCATCCACCTCTACAGGAGGGATCATCTTCCCAGAATGTATCCAAATGGATTAAATGGCTCCACTGGAATAAATAAATGGCTCCACTGTTATCAAATAGTTAAAGGGCTTTCGACCTCCTTTCTCTCCCTCGCGCCCCCTCCCGCATGTTACTCTGACTTTCCATTCACAGTCAATTTTGTTTTCTTTTGTTCCAGTGCTGAAATATGTTCCTTACCTGTTCTCTGTGAGAGAATAAAACGAAAGGAAGCATCACATTGACAGCACTGGTTTCAATTTAGCCCAGAGTTCCATCAGTGGACTCCACCTTTACAAAGCTTGTATCTATTATTCTCAGACTTTACTTTTTCATTTGCAGCTGTGGTACAGCTATTATTTTTAATTTGCATTTTTTCTAACAGTCTCTGTCGTTATGCAACTTTTGCGGGCAATACTTATTTGCAATATCTGACAGTAATATTTTAATCCTGGTTGAAAACTAAAGGACATGCTTGCTTAAATATGAGATGTTTTAACCTGCCTGAGTTGAGGGGTTGGGGTTTTTTCATTTTGTTTTTTTTTTAATTCGAATCTCAATTGAGGATAAAACGTTGATTATTCCTATTTTTGTCTCCGGTGCTGCAGGTGAAGTGTTTGCCATAACAATGCAATAGTATTTAAAATGTGAATACCTCAGAAATCTCCCCATGCTCAGTCCTCTGATTTCCTGTGTTAAATAATTGGCGAAATAGTTAAGGAGAGGACTCATTATTGGTTCTCAATATGAAGTAATGCTTTACCTCGTGCCCGTCACTCTTGCAAAACTCTCAGTCAAGTCACAGAATGGAAATTAAGTCAATGGCAATTTTGCCTAAGTGAAGACTGCTGGATCGGAATTATACCCTCTGGTCCTAATTACAAATGCCAGTTTCTTCGTTAGATTAAAAGCGCTGACACCCAATTTCCACATTTATCATTGGGTAGGCAAATGTGTATTTGATGCTTCCTTTCCGAGGCTTTAGTTTGCCAGCGTCCTCTCATTATTTAAGTGGAGCTTTTGCAACACTTTATTAAGGTTTTAGTATTTTTTCCATAGCAAATAAAATAACTGCAAATAACTCTTTGCTATGTTGGCAAAACAACACTCGTATTCATACTGCAAATTAAACCCAAAAACACTAGAAGGCAGACTGCTACTTTATCATCCCATCCTTTCCTTTCTATGCAAAAACCTGACTCCAAAAAGGTATCATTACAGCCAAAGGATATAGTTTCAACAAAATGGTAGTTCCAGAGCTTGATGAAAGAGGAAATAATTGCATCCCACATGTCTAGCCTCGAAGTAGCCCAGGATCTCAGAGCAAATTTCTCTGCTATTGTTCAGGGAAAGTGAAATATCATCATCCCCTTAAAGGAATGGTGAAAGATCTGATGGAGTTTCTATACGAGGTTTTACAGTTCTTGCTACACACTCGTTTTTAGTTATGGGGACAATTCATCAATATCCTTTTGTTTTTGTTCTGAATTCTCTTTTTTAAAGTTGCATGTTTAATGTCTAACAACAAATGTCTGCCCCTCCAGAAGTTACCATATTCCAAATCTTCTGTTCATTTAATTATAAAGCCACTATGGAAATGAATCTAGTCTAACAAAGTCATTCCCTTGTACTGCAAACTATTTGGTCTTGTCTTTTCGCCGTGAGAGATCTCTTTCTTTAGCTATCTAGGCATGTACAGTGTTCTCATCGTTGTGGTATCTAATATCTGAATACATATATGGGCCAAATTCGTTCCTCATTTACAACGGTGTAAATCTAAACCTTAAGGATGACAGACGTTAGCACTATATTACATGATGACACAAATTGGTTAGCTATAATGAAAAGCTAAAAACAGCTAAAAAATGCTAAAAAGCTTCAAAAACAGAGTAGGCTTTCAGGAAAAATCGAATATATATGCAGCAGATACCCCTGGGAAATAGTACCAGCTAACTTTCCCCCTGTATGCATATAGGCCAGTGCAGAAAAAAATCGATTAAAGGCAAGGGGCTGTTCTGCCAAGGCAAGATCCTTAGCAACGTGAAAGATACCCAATCATTCCGATTCTGTCTATCTGGTCCCTTTACGGTAGTGTCTGAGGGGATAGTTGTAACTCTTTCAACTTCGCGTTGTTATTTTCAGTGTTTTCTTATTGCTGAGTGGAGCTTCACTTTTTCTCTTAACGTACCCTCTGCTTCCTTCCCCTGACCTGAAGAAGAGCTCTGTGTAGCTCAACAGCTTAGACTTCTACCAGCAGAAGTTGGTCCAATAAAAGATATTATTATCCCACCTATATTGTCTTTCTAATGCACTACTAACGGGCAATTTTATACTTATTTCCCGTGCCCTGCCACATGCAGTTACTGGAGTTCTGTACCCTGAATCCATTTCAGTAAAGACAACACATCGTGTGTATCTGGTTAAACCGACACCTGCGAATAGCAGAGCTATGTGTAATGGGGACCTGGGGGAAAAACTAGCTTCTGCCCACTAGGCAACCTGCGGGAAACACTCCGGAAAGCCAGTCCATTGGGCCACATTTCTTGGCTTTCCTATCCCACTGTAAATAAGGGCATCCTCTCCTCATGCCAATTATCTACAGCCCTCTGATTCCCTTCGAGATGGCTAGCTGGGTGATGGGAGAGTGTAAGCAGTGCTTGAGCTAGTTATTTTCCCATCAGTAAACTGGCCCTTTTGAGCTGATTTTCCCCTTGTGTGATCTTAATGCTCTGCTATTCTGTTCACTTGATTACGGATTTCCTCCCTCTGCCCTTCCTTCCCCCCACCCTCAACTCTATGATATGTTGCCCCTGCATTGCACTGCAGAGTACTGCACTGCTTTCTGAAGCTGCTCCGCTTGCAGGGAGCAACACAAAATATCATGTTAGGTAGGTGGTGCGGCTCTATTAAAAAAGTCAAGCGTGTAAAACAATATCAAAGGAAGAGGAGGGTAAGGGATGGCTGATGTAGTTTGTGCTCCAAAGCTGTATAACATTATGGCTTGGAGGAAGGTGGATGAGGGTGGAAGATGAACCCTAGTCTTTTACCAAGAGGCACTCTACATTATGTCCTGTGGCACTTTATAGACTAATAGACGTAGTGGAGCATGAGCTTTCGTGGGTGAATGCCCACTTCGTCAGATGCATCTGACGAAGTGGGTATTCACCCACGAAAGCTCATGCTCCTATACGTCTGTTAGTCTATAAAGTGCCACAGGACTCTTTATTGCTTTTACAGATCCAGACTAACAGGGCTACCCCTCTGATATTCTACATTATGCTGGATTGTGGTGCAGTGCCTGTATGACCGAGTCTTTCTGACTGCACTCAGTGCAATTATCCTCACTTTAATATAATTGCAGCTCCTCCCTGTCCCCCCACACCTGTATTGATTTCAAACTGAGAAGCAAGAATTTTCAGATTACAACCCACTTTATGCATTCTTGATCATTTAAAAAAAATCCCGCAGCTATGCTAAGGCAGGATCTTTTAAGAGTTTGCAGCTCGACAGGTAAGAACTCGGCTGGGGCTCAGGAATGTGGAAATACAACTCAAGTCAGCCTACTGCGAGAGCAATATTAATAAGGGCATACAGGTGACTGAGTGAGAGAGAGAAACTTGGCAACTAAAATAACATAGTGATCTAGATCATTGTGGTCAAACAACAAGCAAACATTTGACTCCCCAATAGCCCTGCTAAAATGTGGTCTGGAATGGCTGCAGTCAATGAGCAGAACACTGCAGCGATAGCCCTTGGTTCCTGGTGTGGTTCAGGGTTGTTTTATCAGAGAGGTAGACGGACCAGTTGTCAAGTTAATTTCAACACGTCTGTGTGATGGATAGAAGCGCAAATTGTGTCTAGGCCTGCATAAAAAAAAATCCCTGAGAGCAGGTTCAGACCAGGGATTTTCCCTCGCCCCCCCCCCCGCCCCCTTTGACTACTTAAACTCTGCTCTATTGTCTCATCTCATCAATAGTGGCTGAGCTAACTCCGTCAGGTTTCTGAGGGACTGTATGCCAGAGCTAATATTTAGATTCGATTAAATAATCCAAAATAAAAGACTCTCCCCTCACGGCCAAACTGGTCCCTGCAGACTGAAAGTTACCGTAGCTTCTATTCGCCGGTCTCTTTTAAAGCAGTGGCAGTCTGATTAGAATCACAATAAGGCATTTAAAAGAAATACACATTTTCACTGTTGTTTTGCTGATGGATGTGAAGCCTCAACACGTCTTCAAAGACACGGGGAGACAAATATCACACATTTTTGGCAATATATTTTGTTCACAAGTTTGATCCAAAAACCAGAGGATTAGTGCGGACAATCACTTACCCTAGTTTGACATAGATGACTCCAAAGCATAGAAACACGTAGAAAATCCACTTTCGAAAGTTTCTGTGCATGATCTAGAGAATGGACTGAGCCATAAAAAATGCACAAAAAGTAGAACTGATCTCTGCCGATTAAATCCCAGTCAAGAGCATGTCTGAGGCTACACAAAAACGGAGCCGGTCGAACTGTAAAAACTCAACAACGTTCAGACAAGATTTTTTTTCTAAAACCATGGTGACCAAAACTGATTCTGATAATGGGGGGAGGAAAGGGGGGGACAGAAAGAGTTTATCAAAAAGGCAAATCAAAAACCCAGGACAGCCCGTCTGAGAGAGAAAATGAGCAAGCCCTGATCTTGATCAACTACCTCATAGAGCCCTCAAGTTCAATGTGTTTTTACTTGTTCTGACTTCCCCAGGTGACACCACGTATCTTGCAAGCTGTGGCTCCAGGTAGGAGGAGGATCTCTTTCACTCTCACACTTTCACTCTCTCTCTCTTTCTCCTCCCCTCCTCCCCCGCCCGTGTGTGCGTGTCAGAATCTACCGCATCTCATCCTTTACACACACATATGTAATGCCATAAAGCAGTCACTAAAACATTTGTCTCTCGTGGAGTAGCGTGGCTAGCTTGTTTATTTATTTTGCAAAATAGATGGTTAAAACTTTTTTTTTAAAGCGAAGAAAGCCAGCTCTTCCATGTCTGTGTATATGTTGTTATATGCTGTACAATATAGTGTGTCTATATCTGTATCTTGCTAGAGAGCTGAATGTGTGTATACCTGTAGACACGCCTATCACTGAATGGGGTGGTAGTTATATACAGTCTTGCAAAACAAGAAAGCATTCTTCCTCCTTTAAGAAATACCCAGCTTCTTAGCGAGGTTTAAGTTATCCAGTTCGGTCTGCCTCAGGGTGCATAGAGATTAATACTTCCCAATTTATATTCAGTAATTGATACTCAAGCCTGTTTAGACGTCGACTTTTTTAAATCTCACTGGTTTTGAGATCTGTTCCATTTACTCCCACAATCTGTGGGAATGTTTGTTCTGATATACTGTACTATATGTGTATTGTGTCTATGCATACATCTGTAGGCATATGCATATATAAATAACTCACATACATACTCATCTGTGTGTTTGTGTAAGTTATATATACCTACACCTATGCATATACACACATGCGCATATAATTTTAGTAACCGGAAACCTATAAAGCTATCTGCACCTTACAAAGAGAAACAGCGAAATACACACCGATACAAATGTAAACAAAAGCAGGCAGTGACAAACAAAAGCAGATAGTGAACACAAAACTGATTGTAAGCCATCTTCCTTTGCCTGAGAACACATTTTTGTAAATGCATCAATCTGTGCTGCTTATATATACTTGAAAACTGTACATCGTTTTCTAGATGACCCAAAAGATTAACTAGTTAATAATGTCTGGATTTTCGTACCCTGAGCCACGATCAATGGTAACCCCTTTCGCGCACCCACTTAGCAGATCTCGTTAAAACCTTCAGAGAGCTACTGAAAAGAACATCTATTTTGGAGGAGGTATGAACACAGCGAGGTGCTACAAAATGCTCATAGAAAGGGAGCAAAGTGAAACAAGAAAAGGAAAACCGTGTAGAGGTATTGATTTTCCGTATCTCTCTAGCTCCTGTGGAGTGAGGGAGGAATGACAGACTGAGCCTGCTAACTTTGTTCAGGATTGAGCTCAATTATCTCTCGCTGTTGATCAGTAAAACCATTCTGTCTTTCCCCCATACATGCCTCACATTTCATTCTTTAATAATCAACGAGCTGGCTATCATAGGCAACCAGCCCTCCCCCAGAGCACTTCATATACATATTTCCTTATATGTGATCATCAGTCACGTCTTTCTTTAATGCTGTTTTTTAATATCTTGGACAATCTTAGCCTTATTGATTTTCTGACATGCTCACTGTAACTGTTTTAAGTTTATGTTCTCACAAAAGAGAGCACGGTCCCTTTTTGAAAATATATAGGGGTAAAACCGTTTTCGTATTCTGATCCACACTGCTTATGTCTCATATCCTAAAATCTTCAACCAAGAATTGTTAGGAAAACGTCCTTTAATCTGCATTTCCCCCCAGGTTTTTGTAATTCTCAGACCAGAATTAGGGACTCCTTTACCCCGCCTTCTCCCGGGTTTTAGACCTAGCCTTTCTGCTGGGCATGTTTTTGAACGTGGTTGTAGTAGGTGGAGCTCTCGGGTAGATGGGTGGTCCACACTGGAGATGCAAAAGTCCTTTCCTTGCTTGGACAGAAAACGTTAACACGTTTTCTGGAATGACCCGGGATGACTGAAAAAGGTAATTGAGATGTTCAGCGGACTGTGGCAGGAGCAGAGATGGTGAAAGTAGATATCTCGCAAGAATTTTGTTTCCTAACCCGTCAAAATTCATTTTGTATCCTTTGGGGGCAGAGGCTGGGTTGGATGCACGTCGCCCCCTGATGGAAATAAGGCAAATATTCTGCTTTTCACAGGGCAGCATCTGCGAGCTATGGGATAACACTGCCACCTAGAGGAAGGAAGTGTCCACCGGAGCAGCTTAGTGTTGACAAATTGTCAACACTAAATAGGGCCTTTATCTTGAGAAACGAAGAAGAGGAAGAGAAAAGAGGGAGGCAGGAGGATTAATCTTGGAACTTCCCCTCTTGCTTAGCTCCACACTCTTGACACCTTTTGTCTGGGATTTTTGATAAGCATGTGTATGGATCAAGAGGACTAATTATCCAGTTTAAATAATCAGAGCTAAATAACAGGAACAGCTGTTCCTTTTCCTCCATTCCCATTTATCACTCTGCAACCCACTCCCCGTACCCAATGCTGGGTGGACAAATTAACTGTCTAGGACACACTGTGAAAGGTGGGGTTTTAAATAGCCCTGGTCAGGTACCTGGCTGATATCCTCTGAAATATGGCAGAGTAGATCTGTGAATGGTCCCCGGTCATAGGACTGGGAATAGTGCTCTGCCACTGACCCTCTGAGTGAGCTCAGTTTGCCTCAGGCTGCTAAGCCATGATGCCCATCTTTGTAGAGTGATTTGATAGCTAGGGATTAAAATGTCATGAAAGTGCAAATGATTATTTATTAGAGCTTCTCTGTTTGCAGACATTATTCATCCTCAGACTGTTTGGTGTTTGTGATGACTAGACTGGACTTATTTAGCTAAAAGTGCTGATGCGCTGCTAGAATGGTTAAACAGTATGGTGTGCATATGCTTGGAGTGTCTTTCCCAGACCTAAAGAAGAGCCCGGTGTGGCTGGAAAGCTTGTCTTCCTCACCAACAGAAGGTGGTCCAATAAAAGATATTACCTCACCCACCTTGTATCTCTATTGTTCAGTTGTTAGTGGTCAAGCGGTATAAAATACTTTTTTTATTTTTCAGATGAAAAGGGAACAGAAAGTTCTTATAATTCAGGAGTTACGGTTTATGGTGTTAGTTTACATATTCATCTCTTAGCTTGGACAATAAAGAGAGACTAGTTAATTCTAGGTTTATTTCTGGTCAGCTACACTTTCTAGTCCTCACTTCATTTTGGTTCTCTGACTAGCATAATTCTGCAACGTCTTGGTTATAAACATTTTGTTGTTGTTTAGTTGTTCCATTGATTTTTTTATATATATAATCATGGAAACATTGATATTGATCTTAAATTATATTAAAATCTTATCACGAAACTTAAAAAATTTAAGCCATATCTGACCTGATGGAGTCCATTTAAAAATAAATCTATTGCCCAACCCGACCCCATCCCATATATAATCAGCTTTATGCAGAATGTTCTTCAAATTAATTTACTGGACATGATAGGAGACTAACGGCTAAAATTATTTTTACTTCCAAACCAGAAGTTTTCTGTTTATATCTAAGCTAGTTTAGGTACATTCTTGAGGCTGAAACCCCAAAGGGTCTTCTCAAATCAGTACACACAAGTTCATATATTGATTTCAACTGTTGAAGTAAAACAAACAAACAAACAAACTGGTTTTCTGCATAGAAAAGCCAGGGCCAGCATTACGGGGTAGCAAGCAGGGCAATTGCCCAGGGCCGCACACCACGGGTGGGCACTGCAACGCTAAGTTGCTCAGGCTTCTACTTCAGCTCCGGGTGGCGTGGCTCTGGGCTCCAGGCTTCAGCCCCATGCGGTGGGACTTCAACTTTCTGTCCTGGACCCCAGCAAGTCTATCACTGGTCCTGCTTGGCGGCCCCCCTGAAACCTGCTCTCAGTGCCCTAGGGGGTCCTGGACCCCTGGTTGAGAACCATTGTGATATAGCATGTAAATTCAGTAAAGCTGATAGAGATACACTGAACTTGGTTGGTAAAGGCTTTGTTATAATACTCAGACTTCATTTAGTTTACTACATTTACAGAGAATGATGGACTGATTCCCTGCAAAAATGCAGGTTACTCCCATATAGGGGAATGGAAATTAGGTGAACCTTAGTTAGCAGTTTCCTACTCATTTCCCCCATCTGGGGCGGGATAGAGGAGTTGTACCTCTGTGGCAGAGATCTGAAATTCAGCTCCCTAAACCCGCAGAAGGATGAGCCATCCATGTCACACTGCTACCCAGCCCCTGTAGCCTCTTGATAGCATGGCTACTCTGGGAACCATACTGCAAAGGACTGTAATGAAGGATTTTGCTTTTTGATGCTCTGAAAGATTTCGCAACACCTTGAAGAGAAAAACAGAAAAGGGGTTTAAATATCCAAAAAATTTCACCTCTCCCCATTGATATAATTAAGGTGGTGACAGTAACAGGACACTTTGACTTGCATAAAACAGCAGTTAATTTTAAGATTAAGGCTTTAGATAAATAGTAATTAGTAATAGTTTAGAGTTAAAATTCCAGAATGGCAGACACAATAATCCTCTATGAAAGACACAGGGTTTAGGGTATGGAAAATTCCATCAACTAATAGGGAATGACTCAGCATATCTCCCAAGACCTGACAGGGAGGAGCTAAGACTAAAGATGATGTCATAGGGAAGAGCTCTACCTAAGATGGCATCAGGGGGAGGAGCTTTGCTATATAAAAATAGGATGATGCAATGGGGAGGAGCTAGACAGAAATAGCAATTATGCTAATACCTGGAACCTGATTGACTGAGCCAGGCTAATTAGCTATGCTAATAAACTGACCCTAAGAGAGCAACCAGCATATAAGGCCGACAGCTAGCAGGCTGAAGTGTGGTGGTTGGGGTTTTATGGGTTGCGGAGCTGCATGGATGTTGTGGACACACAAGAGCTGAAGAACAGAAGATTCCAAGAAGTAGCTAGTTGCAGAGACAACAGTAGTATAACCTTCTAGAGGGCAACAGCTTCTAAGGAAGCTACAAAGCAGCTACCTCCCCTACTGCAGCAGCACTTGCAGATAACTGCTGTAACCTTAAAGGAGATAGCAGCAACTATCTTCCCCAGGCA